CTTATAATTTGCAACAATTGATCCCACATCTCACCTTGCCAACCGCGAACGTCCCCAACAACATCAACAACTCATTCTTTACAACTTTAAGGCCCTTAGCTTCACTTCAGCCATCATCTCAGCATATCTTAGGCACCACTGATATCAGCCGACCCTCCAAGCTCTCAACCCATTCCCTTGGAAGCTCCTGAGCCAGTTGCTTTCGCTGGTTGGAGGTCTCAAACCTTCTTAGCTGCCTCGTGTCACAGATTGTTCCAATCAGATCACAAATTGCAAGTGCAAGAACAGAACAACAACAACAACAACAACAACACAGCTATTGATGTGTATATACCCGCACCTTTGCAAGTGGTGTTTGCTTTACCTTTTATCAGAAAATCATGTTTTAGACATCAGCGTTTTTTTTGTTGGGTTGCAAGGGTTTTTTGTTGTTTGCCAGTAGCTGGCTCAAGCCACATTGCCCAATCAAACAGCAACAACTTCCGATCAAAAGGCGACATTCATGACACGATCAGTTCTGGCGTGATTTCTTACGATACTCCATTTCTCCGGCAATGGCATTTTTTTTCCGGGAACGATTGAAATGTCTGCTTTCTGGAGCAAAGACTAACAAAAATAGACGATGGAAACTGCAGGTCAGGTCTGTATAATCTGTATATTATAACCCACGCGTGGACACAGGGGTTGCCTTGCAGGGGCAAGCATTTGGCACAACAAAAGGCCAAAGGTGTAATGGTGTAACAAAACGCATCTCATCCATACCATGGACTCTGCAGTTGTGACAGCTCGGCAAAGCTTCCATGGCTTTGTATGAAAAATGTCATTAAAATATGGGATAATAACATATTATTTCAAGAGGGAAATTTATGATCCATTGGAATTGGGGGTACGAGTACGGTACAGTAGCCTATTTCAAACAAACCCACATGATTTTTCACAAAATCCGACAGTTTCCGACTGAGAAAAGCGCCTTTGAAAGCCGTCGTTGGGGCAGATCGCGGGGCGCTTTGCGGATACGAAGGTCAAGCACTGTTCGAAGGTGAGGTTCCTGAAGGGCAGCTTTGATATCTTTAATCTTGATAGTATATTATGATAGTATCAAATAGTATCCACATGTATCTAATATTATCTAATATGATGCTTTAATAATACTAAACAACGGACCATTATCCTATGAATTACCTACATTATCTAGTATCATCAGTAATTACACACAAAAAATCACGAAAGTATGAAACACAAATTGTAATCAAAATCAATAAATTGTATACCCCGGCGGCCATGTCCAAGAAACAGGTGGCTCATCAAGTAGGCGATCACACTGGTGGAACTGCGGGAGATACCTGAGATGTAGGACCAGGTGACCTCAACCATCAAAGAAATGTGCCAATAACTTGAGAAATAACATGAAATAACTATATAATATTATATAACAAAACATCACGTGGGTCAAATAATTCAAATATGTCAAATACTTAAGCATTTTTTCCTTGGCCCACCGCTGAAACATGATTACACATTTTGGGCATGACATTTTGGATCGTGCAATTAAGATGAGTTCAGTGGCAAGTGCTTCGCTTTGAGTGCGTTTAATCTAGCCGCCTACATAGCTGCAAAACTCATCAAATCTCATCAAAGCTCTATCTCCAAGTGTTGAGAAATGTTGAGAAATATATCTCTCTATCAATTATATTACGACCTCCATGGGTCCACTGTGTTCAACCAACTCAAGCCAATTCAGCTTTCCCAACCGGTCCCAATGCACCCTGCCTGCGGCACAATGGACGTAAACTACGTGTCCATTGTGTCGGCACCCAGCGATGAAGCGCACAATGCCTTAGATTGGGAGGCGAAGGGCAATTTGCGAGAAGGGCTTTCTCAGACTTGTTCAGTATATAGATGATTCACAATGCTTCAAGCATGTCCAGAAAACGGGCTGAAAAGGGCGGTTTTCATCGCAACGGCCCTAATGATTAATAGATTCTTTCGGTTGACATGGATCTGAACTCTTGGCAACGGTGAAACCACAGAATTGCCTCCGAGACACGTGTGAAATGACAGCCTCGTGTCACAGGCAACATGAAAAGGTCGCAGAATACATTGCACCATGGTGGAGGTCACATATGTGTCCACACGCCGAAGAAATAAGAAAACAATCAATCATCAAGGCTATGTGTTTTTCAACACTATCTGTGCTACTTATGTATTCACTGGTTCTGCACTGTTTCTGGATTTCTTTGGACTGTCCCTGACGATTGAATTTGAAGATTCGTTCCCGAACGACAGCTGGTGTGACTCCAAGAGTCACCATCAAGCTGAATTCTGCAGATTTGACTTGACGGCTTGGAATAAATACATTTGGCCTTTAAACCAGCAAACATGTGTTGCCACAAGTTTTGAAATGGCCCTTCATGACGTATACAGTTTCCAAGAGAATTAAAGGAATGTCTGCCATTCGCACATACTTTAGCAGCTTCGTCAACATCATTACCTATCAGGTTCCCTCCAAAAGTGCTGCCAAAATGCTCAAATCTGCAGTGACGATATCTGGGAGATTGATATGCTCACCTGATTCAAGCTGCCATCAGTCAAACCCCCCAAGTTTGTCTTTGTCCGGCTGCAAACAGTTTAAACAAACGAATCTGCACTAAGAGGACTTGTCAATACTAGTGTCACATGTCCTCCAGAAAATTACCAAAATCATTCGACATGTTTTGGCCATTGATTATATTAAGATGCATTGATGCATTTCCAATCATTTCCATGCGTTTCCATATATTTCACATAAAGTATAAACAAAGTATAAACAATTTAAGGAATATTTAAGTGGTATACCCCAGATATCTCGATGGATCCTCCGTGGCGAGTTGGTGCCAAGCGGCGCGCTACGAGGCGAATGCGTTGCCCAGGGGCCGCGGGCCCCAGCGACAGCACACCTTGATTTTGCTAAGGTCAGGTCGATTGCAATGGGAAGCACCAACTGATTTCTTAAAGTATGTTGCATCACGCGTTTGAAATCCCTAACTGAACGATTTCAATGTTCAATTATGTTCAATTCATTCTGTCCAAAAAACACACATTGAACACATTTTGCCCAATACCCAATGGTGTGTGGTCTCCAGTTTCCCTCCCTTTGGTTTGAACATGCGTGATATTTCCACACAGTTCTTAAAAAGATTTAAACACTAAATTTTACAAAAGGGGTATCGCCGGGATCCTTCAATAACTCGAAAGCAAAGACTGAAGACCATCACTGAGATCAGGCTTTCAGGTAAGCAATGCCAACAAAACACTGAGCAAACCGCTAGAAACAAACGTGGCGCTACGAAGTTGCAAAACTCTGCAGGATGCATCAGGTACATACTACGTGTCAATGCTATTGCCGGCATCGTTCTTCTGCTTGGACCACTAGAATCAGCAAAGCACAAACACAAAATCAACTTGTGGACGAAAGCAAGGACACCAAGGCTTTCGAAACGCCTAAAAATAAGACATGGTGAGTTTTCCTCCTGGCAATTCAATACAAGTTACAAGTATGCCATGATTGTGACTTGACTTGACCTGCCACATTATCCACATTGTAGTCAGTTCTCCATGAAGCCACATTTAATGAGGCAAGACCAACACCGAAAGAAAGAACTACACAGAAGTGGCCAAACCTATGTTCAGCCAAAGGAGCATGTAATGTTGTTCTTGGAGAAAAACTCAGGGTTGTCAAGAACATCCTGTCCTGCAGCCGTTCTTTGTGAGGAAGCAAGGCAGAACTGCAAATTGAAAATTGATTGAAACCGGTTTGCAGTAAAAGGGTGGCTGATCGTGGCTGGTTTGGAGCATCTGGCAACCTTATGCCCATATTTGGCTTCACATGCTTTGCGAAGACATTTCTGAATTATTGGGCCTTCTTGCATCTCTTCTATCCACATCTCTCTTTCCTGCCCTTGCACCAGCTAAAACGAAACGACAGACTGCCGTTTGGTTTATGTCGAGGAATAACACTTGCCCATTTTCTCACACGAAAGCATAGGAAAACCACGGAAAACCACCGCGGAACATGTGTGTAAGACATGCTTACCAAATCTTACCAGCTACAAGTCCAGCTTCTGTGAATTTCTGTGAAGGCAGGGCCTGACGGCCTGACACAATCATTTTGGAATTGATCAATCGCCCCATTGCCAGTAGCCCAGGAGGTCATCGAAAGTTCCTCCGAGCCATAGATTCGGCAGGATCAACGATGGTGCACCACCCATGGCGCACTGGGTCACTGGGCAGTCTGGGATCTGAAAGTTGTGGCGATAGTTTCGCCACCGAAATCCACAACTTCGAAGGTGATCATGATATGTCATAGAATGTCACAGAATTATATGCGATACTTCTGGCGATTTTCATGGTGACAGTGATGCTGATGCTGGTCATAGCCCTCATGGCCTGTTTGATGTTTGGTTTGGTCTTTCCAAAGCTCCCTAAGCCAAAAAGTGACCGGGGAGATGCTGTGCCTTCAATGTCTGGGATTTGTGCCATGGTCAGACGGGGGCCATTTAATAGGAATCTTTGCAATGGGCATCTGCATCATCATCCGCATGACTGGATTGATGACCAGCCCCCCAAAATTGGTCACTGGCCCTAATTTTGACCATGGGAAATGTGGTGGATGGGACAGCCCCATGTTTGATCCGACCAAAAAACACATCAAACGTGTGTTTTTTCCATGGTCCCTTTGGCCAAATATTGCCACATGGTACCCTCTTGAGAACCAACATGCAACCCCAAGAATTGGAGCTGTAAACTGTAAACTAAGTCTTACTCAGTCCAAAATTGCAGGTTCCTAAAGTGGTGGGACCCCCCAGTCCAAGTCATTACTGTAGCCCGTTTTGGTATTGAAACCCATGGTGACTTGGGGATCCCCAATTTTAAAAAACCATAAAAAAAAACTCCATTTAGGTTCCATGTGTTGGTCTTCCGGGGTGCACCGCGACCAGTTCCTAGGCGCTGAGAGACCCGGCTGACACGTCCATCGTTGCTGGCGGAGTACTGCGCGGCAAGCCTGGGAGATGTAGCTATGCTCCACTGCAACGACCCAAAGATCTACACTACCCTTTCGTAATTAGACTTAACAAGTAGGTGTCATTTTTTTGCAGAGAAAAAACGGGGTTTCCTTGAGTGATATCTATGTCTATGTTTGATGTCCATCGATGCCCTTCGGGATGTGATTCTGACAACTGAAAGTCTTCAATGCTGTAGGTGGAAAGTTTGAGACGCCAAAGTCAAGCATCAAAGCCCAATAATAGCCTAGGTCGAACACCAGCCTGTTTCATGAAAAACGATGGGAGATGTGCAACCCTTGAAGACGCAGTCCAGGTCCACAGGTTTCATTAAATGAGATGCGGCATATTGCGGCATTCCCTCTGGCCTTTTGCTTCAGTATGGTTTCATTGAGCTGGCTCTGGGTATGCGCCAATTCCCGCTCCTGGCAAGAGCACTGTTGAGGACCCCGGCCTCATTGACACACATTGACACGACGTGATTTTGTTGATGGGCACCGGTTTCGTTTCATTTTTTTGGTGATGATTTCTTTCCTCGTTTCGATGGTCTCCAGGACCAGATTACCTGGGCTGACCATCCCCTTGAAGCCAGAAACCTCAACCCCTGGAGGTTCCAAGTCTTGCTGCAGCTTCCAAAGGTTAACTTCCCCAACGCGACCTGTCTATTGCCTCATACTGGCCACAAACCAAAATGGCCCCAGTTCATAATCTTCATTGACCTTGGGGACCTCCTTTTTGTCTGATTCTTGATCCTCCTGGAAACCAATGCTTTGCCTACTCAATGATGAAAGTGCTGGTGATATTTGATCCTATAGGTAGCCCAGGACATGATGGACATGCCCGGCTTCATGCGCATGCTCTTTGGCTGCAGGATGCTGAGACCCAAAGCCCATCACAACGTAGCTCTTGGAGGGTGCTGGGCAGCTGGATGTTCTCAATACCATGGTAGTTCTGACCATAGAAGGTCAGCTCTTTCAGCTCAGGCCAAGTTGGCAAAGCCTGGTCAAAAGCAAGGCCCAGAGTCAAGCTCCGCAGGTCTGGAGGTAAGGTCACCTTCTCAAGGCTTTGATTGAAATAATCTCCAAAGGCCAAATGCTGGAGACCTGGAGGAAAACTTACATGCTCCAAGCTCTGGTTGAAATAATCCCCAAAGGTCAAAATCCGCAAGTCACTTGGGAAAGACACTGCGTCCACGTTTTCATTGAAGCGCCGGCTCAGTTTCAGGCTTTGCAGCTGGGGAAAAGTCACGCCATCCAAAGTCTGGTTGAACAAATCGCCCAGGGCCAACTCCTGCAGGCCTTCTGGCAGAGTCACATGCTCCAAGGTCTGGTCGTACTCATCACCCAGGGTCAAGCTACGCAGCTGGACGGGTAGATTCACTCGCTCCAGTGGCTGGTTGAAGCGAGCACCGAAGGTCAAACTCACGAGGCGCATTGGAAGCGTTACAAACTCCAAACTCTGATTGAAGTGAGCCCCAAAAGTCAAGCTCTGAAGATTGTCCGGCAACAATATCACGTCAAGGTTTTGGCTGAACTTATCTCCAAAGTTCAAGATCTGAAGGCGCTTTGGAAAAATCACATGTTGGACGCTTTCATTGAAGCGCTTCCCGAAGCTTAAACTCTGCAATTCCTCTGGCAAAGTCGGTGGAGCTTCCCCCAAGCTATCTCCCAACAGCAGGAGCTGCAAACTTCTGGGTAAATTCATCCTTTCCAAGTGGTTCACGCCATCGGCAAAGGATAAGCTCTTGAGGCTGCTTGGCAAGGCCAATGTGTCAGATTCCGTGTCTTGATCCGACCACCCTTTGAAGGTCAAACTATGAAGTTCCTCCAAACTTTCCTTGCGGCGATTGCCAATGCCTCCAAAAAATACCAATGCTCTAAGACACTTACCCAGAGCCGAAGAGAAAACAAACACAGGAAACACATACATAAAGAAAAAACAACGTAAAATCTTCACCCTATCTCTGGCAAATGAAAGTAGTCCAAACAAACGTTGTTTACAAACTTTCTGTTGCAGGTCAGATGTTTCAGGCCTTTAGGCAACGTCCCCAGCATTGAAGTCTCGTCGCATCCAAAACCTTCGCCAAGGGTCAAGGACTCGAGACCGCTTGGGAAGTCAACAGTCTCCAGGCTTTGGTCAAAACTATCCCCAAACACCAAGTGTTTGAGGCCATCTGGTAGGTGCACCCCTTCCAGACTCTGATTGAAATCATGTCCAAAGATCAGGCTTTGAAGACCTCGAGGCAAATCGACTCTCTCCAAGCTTCTGTCAAAATATTGGCCGAAAGTCAACCTTTGAAGACTCTGTGGCAAGGTCAGGTCCTGTAACCCCTGGTTGAAACTCTGTCCGAAAGTCAGGCTTTCAAGTTGGTTTGGTAGACTTGCTCCAGCTACACTCTGGTTGAACCTGTAGCCGAATGTCAAGTTCTTGAGGCCATTGGGAAACAGGACGCCCATAATGCTCTCATTGAAGCTGTTGCGAAATGTCAGGTTTTCCTTGCGTTGACTTTTCATGGGGCAAACGGCAATGGGCTGGAAATTTCTGGGTTCGAATCCCAGGTTGCAAAGGGAGAAATCTGTTCTGCGACCTCTGCCAAACAACCAATACATTTACAGTACATCGTGATGGATTTGATTAGAACACGTGACAAAAACCTCAACCGCAGCTAATGGGGAGGCACAAATCATGGACAAATGTAGCACCACCGCCTGAATAGTTGTCAAGAAACGGCCTGAGCTAATTTATCCAACATACAGTTGCCCAGTGGCTACCCTCTTGTTCGTAGGAATCCATTATCAACCAGCCACTGAAAACTTTTCAGTTATATGCAATCCTTCCGGTAGTGGTGTGTTCATGTTTAACCCATCCTTTCTTAACTCACACATGTCTCAGTTGTATAATGTTCATGCTTAACCCATCGCTCTTGTATAACTCACACATGTCTCAGTTGTATAATTCGCACATATGTATACCAGTGTTGTTTATTTAAACCTCACATGCAAACATGTGCGCGTATATCTGTGTGTGCGTGTGTGTATATTATGTATACCGCTCCATCGCCATTCCGGAGGTTCTGTGTGCATCTATGACCGTAGTGAATATATAATGCTAATTAATACCAGTAGTACCGCGCAAGGCGGGGGTTGGTTGTTGTGACTCACGGATGGCAGAGCGAATCCACTGATGGACCGAAAGGTGGTTGGAGTTGTGCTTGTGGGGTGGTTGCAATGGTTGCAGTGGTCACCTCACTCACAACTCCTGGATGTAGTGCGGTGCAGTGTAGCGCAGTAGTTGTAGCTGCAGTTGTAGTTGTAGTTGTACTGGTGTTGATGCTGTTGAAGTTGTAATGTTGCAGTTGTGGTTGTGGCTCTGGTTGAAGTTTTAGTTGTAGTGGTGTTGATGTTGTTGAAGTTGTAATGTTGTAGTTGTGGTTGTGGTTGTGGCTCTGGTTGTAGTTGTAGTTGTAGTTGTAGTTGTGGTTGTAGTGTAGCTGAAGTGTAGTTGACGTTGCAGTTGTCTTACTTGTAGAAATTGTAGTAGTTGCAATAGTTGTAGGAGTTGGAGTTGTAGTTCAAGAGTAGTTATAGTTGTAGTTGTAGCGCAGTGTCGTGGGAATTGTTGTAGTACTAGTGTAGTTGAAGTTGAAGTTGTAGTTGAGGTGTAGTTCTAGTGTAGCTGAAGTTGTAGTTGTAGCGCAGTTGTAGTAGTTGCTGCAGTTGTAGTTGTAGTTGTAGTTGTAGTTGTAGTTGTAGTAGTAGTAGTTGTTGTAGTTGTAGTAGTAGTAGTAGTAGTAGCAGTAGTAGTAGTAGTTGTTGTTGTTGTTGTTGTAGCGTGGCGTCGTGCAGGTGCAGTTGTCTATCTATCTGTCTATCTAGGTACTAGTTCATCTATTATTTTGTCTTGCGGTTTATCTATCTATCTATCTATCTACCTATCTATCTATCTATCTACCTACCTGTCAGTTTGAAAACGAAGCATTCTGCGAAACTTCCTCAAGTTTTGAACGTGACGACATCCAAAACGAAACAATTTTGCGAGACTTCCTTCAAAATGGAAAGTTGAGTGCAGAGCTGACGGCCTCGTACCAATGCGTTTTGCGATTCTTCCACTCCATCTGTCTAAAGTGCTGCGCCTGCCACGAAAAAGGGATGCCAGGTCATACGAAGTGCTGCACCTTTCGCGCAAAATCATCTTCCCAAAACTGAAGATCTGATGCTCCAAAGTGCAACCCCTCTCAGGAAATTAGCGTCCTCACCTCCAAACAGCTCTGATGAACATGTCTCTTGTACTACGCCTGCCACGGAAAATCCATCTTTGCAGATCCTCTTCAAATGCCCCACGCCTGCCATCGTTTTTGGAAATGCTGCAAAACCTTCACGTTTTGCTCACTTTTGACACGGTGCACAATCCCGTGCGCCTGCCACGCGAAACGACATCTGAACGTCCAAAAGTTGTCCGAACATGTGGTGTTTTTAACATTTTGACTTGGAAATAGCTTCGCGCCACAACAGCGTGCACTTTTTCGACATCTGAACTTCCAAGAGTGCTCTGAACCCGTCAGTTTTTTACACTTTTGACTTCGAAATGTTCTTCGCGCCACAACGACGTGCACTTTTTCGACATCTCAACTGCCAAAAGTGGTCCGGACCTGGTGTGTTTTGTACATTTTGACTTGGAAATGTGCTTCGCGCCACAACGGCGTGCAATTTTTCATCTCTCATCTGGCCAGCTGGCTCCGCACCCGCCGCTTTAGCGAGCCTACTTTTCGACCCTCCGGAGTCCGGAGCCACAAATCATTGGAAAAACACAGTGTTTCGCGACTTTCCTACCTTTTCGCGCACCTGGATCTTCTTTCTTCTGACTCTTTCTCTTTCTTCTTCTCTTCTCTGACTCTTCCCACCTCTGCTTTTCATCTGTCCATATTGTCGGAAGTTTGACTTCTAAACTTCCTTCGATCATATAATTCATATATGTTTTGGATTGTTTTGGTATATTTCTGTTTCATCCTGTTTCCTTGTTTAAGCTTGTTTAAGATCCCCATCAATCCACTAGCCGGCCACAAGTGCCTCCAAGTCTCCAGGGTCTCCGGCAAATCAATGAGCTGATCTTCGAATTCGATCCCGGCCAGGGCAGTGACTCCCTGAAGCGCCAGCTCCTCTTCGTCCACGGGGAAACCCTTCAAGAACTGCCAAGCCGTGTGCACCGAGGCCGGCACAAAGACCTGGAAGCACTCTGAGGGTGATGACATCTGTGACATGAGCGCGTGTCAAAATTGATTGTGCGATTCAGTGTGCATCCAGATTTCGAAAAACAAGGGGACCAACAGCCACAATTGAAGTGAAAACTACCTGAAGCACTGGTCGAATTGCATAGGTCAATGTCACATCAGTGTCTGGAATACCTGGAATACCTGGAATGCCCGGAAGGGGCTCCAGCCAAATTTGGTTTGAGGCTTTCAGCATTTCTGCTCCATGATGCAGCTGGATCTTAGCGCCCAGCTTCCCCGGAAGTTGAGATCTCACCAGTCTCCCAAGCTCCAAACCAGTCATCAACTCAGACACTCTGAAGTCCAGGCTTGACCCGTCCAAACCAATGACATGAAGGTCAATGTTTGCATCAGCATCTGGAGCAGGATCCATTCTTGAGCAGAATCTGAAAAGTACTGTGCAGAAAGCTATCCCATGCCCTGTTCAAAAGGTGGTCCCTTAAAGCTTTGTATATAGGTTATTCTTCACCAGGGCCAATTAAAATTTACGTTAAAAGTCGTTCTGCCAAGAAATCATTATTGATTCAAATCAACGGCAATGTTGAATGCATGGAACCTCAAACTGTTGCCGCTGAAACATGCCAGCCATCTCTATCTGCCCCTTCTCTCTCCCAACTGTGTTGTTTATACTGTGTGCAACATGATGGAGCTTTCTCGAATTCCCAGCTTCTCAAATTCCCAGCATTCTTATAAAAACAAAAAAACATCCAACGAAGGTGACACAAACACCAATCACAATCATGGTCATGAGAGCTGTACCGTTAAGAGAGATACACTCTCCGCTAAAAATTGCATTTGCAATGCATTTGCAGCATCCTTTGTGACAACTCTAACTCCAACAAATTCAGCCATGAATGGCCATGCAAAACCTATCACTTTTGTAGAGCAAATATCGACATTCCTGTGCGTCTTTGGCATTCTGGGCCAAACGGCATACATCAATCGATCAAAGATTTGCCAAACCATATGCATGGAAACTTTCCATAGGAACTGTTCATCAATTTCAAGAAACTGTCACTGCACACGCTAAAGCAGCAGGTTCTGGGCCTCGTTTTGCCAACCAATCTGTATCTATATCATCTATGTAGATTATGCAAGTAGTCAAAGTGCATCTATTTATTTATAAGCAACGACATACCATGAAGATCTCTCTGCCACTAATGAAAGTTGGTCCAACTTTATGATCTGTGTACTAGTAATGTTGCAAGTATCACCTTTGCTACTCACCAACCTTCAAAGCTTGAGAAACAATTATTTCCCCCTATGAACAATTACCTTCCTACCATTCCCTACCATTCCCTACCGTTCCCTACCATTCCCTACCATTCCCTACCATTCCCTACCATTCCCTACCATTCCCTACCCTACCCCTGGTTTAGTACTGGCCATTTTCATTTTGGGGGCCTATACCGGCCATGTGGGAAGTGGATGGCTGTATATTCTGGTGGTTTACAATTTCGGACAGCATTTTTTCTTAGACCATCGGCATAAATTTGAGACGCAAAACGAACTGAACATACATTACATTACACAGCAATCTAGCAACTGCTTGGAGGTCCCTCCATCTGAAACTCTTAGAAACATCAAGCGCAAATCCCAGCTGCTGACGCCACAGGGCACCTCTTCATGATTCAACCGCTGTAGTTGTATCAATTCTTCGTTTGCCTGACACTGATCATATGGCTCGCTATGCAAAATTCCCACAAGAAACATGCCGAACCAATCCTCCGCCCATCCAATCCGAGTCGATTCAAGATATTCAAGTCATCTGCCTGGTCATGTCATTCATCCATCATCCAATGCCATCCATCCATCATCTGCTTTTGGGATGACATCCACAAGGTCCAAGTTTCCAACATCCGTGCGCCTCCTGAACTAACCTCTGCTGACTCATGATTTCCTGCTGCTCCTGAGACCCATGAATTTTGTCCAGGAACAAGGGATGGCCGGTGAAGTGTTGTTCCAAAAACCCTGTTTGCCTTGGAAGGGTTGATCTCTAGCGGATTTGAGATGATTTGAGCATGCTCATGTAGCACATACTCAAATTTCCTGAAGTCCCACACGCACATCGCTTAGGATTTGCGAAAATGCTCAAAAACGGTGCCCGGAGAAACAAACGACCAGCAACTATCTGAATGATTCAACTCAGTCCTTAATCTCATCTGTCCCATGGGCACAACACCATGAGATTTAGGGATGTCTGAAAAATGGACTACTGCATACCTCCCCAAATGGCAATTTAAATATACTCCAATGTGGAAAAGGCGTTTTCCGGGCGTTTTCCCAGGGTTTCAAGGCACCTCATCCCCCTGTTCTTCTGCAAGCGTCCATGCAGCCAAGGCAGCTACCTCAATGGCGGAAGCTGAACCATGATGGAAGCTGACTGTTAAAACATCCAACTGATGGCAAACATTCACTTTGGTGAGCATAAACCCTGGCACATGATATATGAAACGAACTCTGCAATACAATGACAACATATTTTATAAAATTGCCCGCGCAAACACATACACACACAACCATGATATACTTATTCTGGTATATATGTATATTATGTATATTATGTATATTATGTATATTATGTATATTATGTATCTTATGTATCTTATGTATCTTATGTATCTTATGTATCTTATGTATATTATGTATTCTATGTATATTATGTATATTATGCATATTATGTATATTATGTATATTATGTATCTTATGTATCTTATGTATCTTATGTATCTTATGTATCTTATGTATCTTATGTATATTATGTATTCTATGTATATTATGTATATTATGCATATTATGTATATTATGTATATTATGTATATTATGTATATCATGTAAATATGTATATTCATAATAATATATATATATATATATTATGCATATATGTATGTGTATAATCCTTTCCCCCTATTACTAAATGTCCCCCAAATACTAAAAACTAGGGTCCATCTCTAATTTCGGAAAATTTCAGATTGGCCAATTTGACTTTTAATTGCTCCCCTTTAGAACACAATTTAAACATAAAGCTAACATTTGTGTGTTTCGCCCCCTAATAATAAAAACTAGTCAACCCCGGGGTATTTATTATTAGGGTCCGTCCGAAATTTTTTAGTTGTTTATATTAGGGCTTTTAATTTATTATTAGGGCCCGCTTCGAAATCCAATTTTTGAAAATATTTTAATTGCATTATATAAGGAAATTCAATTTATTTTGAAATCGAACAAATTAGTTTTATTATTAAGGTTTCAATTGTATTAATAGGGTCCACTTCGAAATCCAATTTTGGGCAATATTTTAATTGCATTATAAAAGGAAATTTAATTGATTTTGAAATCGAACAAACTAGTTTATATTATTCAGGTTTTAATTTTATTAATAGGGTCCACTTCGAAATCCAATTTTCTGCAATATTTTAATTAGGTTATAAAAGGAAATTTATATAATTGATTTTGAAATCGGAATAAACAGTTTTATTATTAAGGTTTTAAAGTTACTAATAGGGTTCCCTAATAATTAGTACCCCCCTAATAATAAAAACCACCTGATGTGTTTATTATTGGGGGAAGGGGGGACGTTTAGTATTAGGGGGAAGGGATTATATGTAATATGCACATATTGATATGTATATGTCTAACATGAACATGCAGTCAGAGAATCAGCCGCATGTCAGCTGCATCTCCACCAGCCCTCCAGTGAAATTGTGCCTCGCAGGAGCCTTCTCGATGCAAGGCTTCGGTCAACTCCTTAGCTGCGAAGCAGTTGCCATGTGGCTTTCACCAACTTTCAGCAATGACCCGCTGGAAACATTTAAAAAAAAAATCGGGAAAATGTTGGCCTACCTCTAGTATGCAATTTTTCCTTCTATACCATCTCATCTAACCCATAGTTTCATAGTTATGTTCATGTTGTGTATGTTTATCAACCCCGCCTGGGTTTCCCCAGCCATGTCTAGAGTTGCCAGCTGAAGCTGAGACGAGCACCGAACGGTAAGCTTCCATGCCTGGGGAAGTCGGCGTAACAGTCGTAACACTTGGGGGTCAGGTGATATCAGGTGCCAACTCGCCAACTTGAAAATGGCTTTCCGAAACGGGCATTGATCAACATGATCAAAGTTTGCTGCCAAACATCATTTTTTCATCCTTGGCTGAACCCAATCCCCATTGTCCATAATTGGGCTCCTGACTCAATCTAAGTGCTCTCAAATTCTTCTCTGAAGGACGGGCAAAAGCTCTGCCAGCACTTTATTATGCAGGCCAGTGAAGACCTAAGTTAACTAGAACTAGACATTCAAAAAACGCAAAGGTTGCCAGTTGCATATTATATAATATTATATCATATATATATATCATATTCAGCTATATTTGGCTTCATTAAAACACTGTAAAACCGGAGCTTCCCCGCCTTCCAAGCTCTGAGTGGCAGAGTGCAGTCGCTCTCTTGCCTGGCGGTTGAACACCAATGTGGTAAACCCAATGCCATAAACCTACCATGACTCGAGATGATATATAGCACCCGTAAAAAATGTGATCTTGGGGATGGCTCATCATTGGGTTTACCACCGCATGTACACACACATACATATATATATATATATATGAATAATGTGCATGTGTATTATATATAATTATATATATACACACCAGTATATATAAAATCTGACCTCTATCATCCTCTATCTATATTATATCCGACTTATCTGCAAACATTTGCTAATTTTGATGAAACTTGTTCCTGTGCATATATCTCGCTGGCGATTGCCAAAAACAACCTCTCTCGCTCCCTCCGATCCGGGATTGTTACCCCCTTCAGCCAAGATGTCGAAATGCTGAGAAACGTCTCCCAGGAAAGAACCTTTGCCACAAAAAAACATCCAGAACTGCTCACCATCAAAGCAAGGTATGGCTATGGCTGGCTGTCGCCAAGCATGGAATTGCCCTCGGCCCAACCAAATCTTGGTGAAACTTTCTGGGTAAAATCCATGATTGCAACTCTACCACCTCCCCACTATGTTCGCCCAATTTTCGCCAAATTCTCCAACCATATAGGGCATCTAGTCCTCCATTATCACCACGCGGCCGGTGTCGCGGATGGCACTTTGCAGGAAGGGTCACTTAGCTGCCACAGGACTTCAGCAGAGCTGCGGAGGCCCCATGGTACCCCTATGTTTGTTGAATGGGGATCATATGGGGGTTTTCTAAAATAGGGGTACCCCCAAATCATACATTTTAGTAGGACTTTCCATTAAGAGTATCACAGTGCTATCACCATTGGATTTGCTGCCTCTCAAGTCTGGTGAGGTGCAACAGCTAAGTCAAAATCGTCGTAGCACACCATGTTTCGGGTGCAGTGGCAGCAAGGCTTTCACAGTGAAGGCACTTTCAACCGGTTAGAACCGACAACGCTGAGTCCGTGGAGTCTTGAGGAGCAATATATACATGTCACATGTATGTATATGTCTATATGTGATTTATACATGTATGTATTCAAGCATTCAGGCATGTATGAATGTATTTGTGTATGTATGTAAGTATGTAAATAAACTTGTATGTACGTATGCTTGTATGTAACTACGTATGCACGCATTTAAATCCCATTCGTACATAGTATACACATAAATGTTGAGAATTGTACATGTGTATGCATATCTAATCTAAATGAAATAAACATAAATAAACCACAATTAAACCCATTGACACACAAGAAAGTTGTTGCGCAAGGTTGTTGCTCATGCCATTGGTTCAATACCTCCAAGGGTCTTCACCATGAAAGCAAGGTCGCCGCCTCCTGATCCTCACCGCACGTGCCAATCGCCAGGCGGTTCTGTGGTGATGCCAGGGCGGCATGGGGCCACGGCATGGGGCCGCGCCGTGGCCATCACGGAAGAAAAAATCGATTAAACCAACTTGGACCAACTTGCCGGCTGGTCACTGCCGTGGAATCTGCCGTAGAATCATGTAGATCAATGCGATGCACTGTATAATTGGTCCACATCTGGAATGATGTGGAATATGCATGCATATGAGCTCGGCAGGTGTCCAGCTAAGTCCAATTAGGTCAGATGATCTGCTATTTCGCGCTTGCCTGGAGCTGTCACCTGACTTGAGTTATGGATGTTATGGTGCTATGTGCTGACCTTATGCTTAGAGTTGAGGGCTGGGCATTGTACCATCATGTTCAATATGCGGATAAAGGAAGCATGATTTTCTGCGGCTATATTCACAGTGTGTTTGTTGTTCTAGTCAAGGTACACACATGCTTGGGTTCTAACATTCATATTTGCTAGTTCATTGATTCTAATTTCAGGTCTTTAATCTCATGTTTTTGTCTGTAACTATTTCCGGCATTCACATACATATTATATATAAAAATATATAATATATAAGGTTAAGGATGGAGGTTCACCGGAAGTTGACAGGAGTAAATTTGAGTGATGATCGTGATTGGTCATTTGTTTATCATATTTTACCGGGTTTTGGGCTCTTCCGTCAATAAGCCTAATACATCCTAATACTGTATATCGATCCTAATATACGCATATAAAAGTATATGATCGTATAAATGTCCCCACATGTCCCCACTGTGATGTGCTATCCCTATAAACCTGGTCAAGTCGTGTGCTCACAGCTCAGCCCAGAAAGACGACCGTTGCCGAGGGCTAACCCACCGGTCTGTGGATTCGTTGTGTCCACCACGCAGTCATTGGTGGATCCACACCACGAGAAGCAAAGAATCAGAGATTTTCTGAGTTGTTGGATGTTTTCTTGAAGTCAACTTCTGATTTCTTCGACAACTCACTGGTTTTGGGTGGGCTAAAGTTGCATTTTTTGGGACTTTCCAACAAGCAACCCAAAGAAGGATGATAAAACATTAATCCAAAGCTTTTCATGTCAACAGTTGTAACAGTGTAGCAATCTCTTCCAGATTTGAGTTGAATCGCTAAAGTTGGAGCATGTCACTTTTCCGAGGCGCTTAGTCTCTCAAGCAGGCAAACAATGCCCATCTGTGTGGGCTGAACCAAGCTCCCGTCGTCCACAGACCCCCTGTCAATTTGGATATAGGCTCATAAATTGCATTTAATATCATATCATACCAAATATCTCATCATACTATACCCTCAAGATCAAACAAACCCCCTTGTCCGACAAATTAGAACCCCAAATCTGAGGTCTAGAATGGTGTTCCTTAAAAAAACCCAAGGTTTTCAAATCTCTTAACGGAGAGCATGCTAGAACCTCAAAGTCTACGGAGGGGTAGGGGTCTAGAATCATGTTCCTGTAAGCTATAAAATCATGGAAAATTGTCACGATTTTTTTTTGGAATCTCCTTGTTATGATTTAAAGCAATTTTTTGCATTTTTTGTCGTCTGTTGGAATCAATTCATACCACAACAAGGCTCATACATCCAAACTTTCAGGGTTCTAATTTGATAGCCTTTTAAAGTTCTAAAATCATAGTGGTGATGATTTTAGAACCTTCAACGGGAACCCCAGGGGGGGATTCTAGACACCTCGATCTTGAGGGTATATCATACTAACATCATATATTCGAATACACTTGCCACTTGATCCATATGATCATAGTGGCCGGGGCAATCCCGACCACCAAGTGATACCAAGTGGGGGCTTGACGGGGCTTGGCGGCGTCACTGAAATTCCTTCAGAAGCTTCGCTATTTCCATGTGGCCACTCGCCAGGGCGGCCATCTCCTCGGCGACCAGGCCCGCCCTGAAAAACGAAGATGTTGAGCGAAACATACGAAGAAAACCGGTTGTTACTTTGCCAGTACTTTGCCAATATAATATTTATATATTATTATTGTTATTATTATTATTATATTATAATAAATATTTATGATCAATATTGATTGATATAATATTATAATATTGATTATATACTTCCATTGGGTCCAAAATTATATTCAGATAGTGGTTAAAGATGGTTAAAAACATAAAATATCAAGATCATGAGGAATGGATCCGCAACAAAACATTGGCCAATTCTGACGAGCATGCAAAACATCGTCAACCCCCTAAGCATATCCACGCAAAAAATTGGTCCTTTACCATCTCGCACTCTATATTATGACTTATTATGTTTTTCTCCCCCACCTGCCAGGTGAGGGTTGTTAAATTTTATCAGAGCTGTTCTCCTCCTCCGCCTCCGCATCCTCCTCCTCCATCTCCTCCGCTTCCTCCTCCTCGCAGTCCAGATCCCAACCGCGACTTCCAGATCGCAGTGGGCACTGCCGGACCTCAACGGCCAATTCCAGATCGCAGTGGGCACTGCCGGACCTCAACGGTGAATTCCAGATCGCAGTGGGCACTGCCGGAACTCAACCGCGACTTCCAGATCGCAGTGGGCACTGCCGGGCCTCAACCGCGACTTCCAGATCGCAGTGGGCACTGCCGGACCTCAACCGCGACTTCCAGACCGCAGTGGGCACTGCCGGACCTCAACCGCGACTTCCAGATCGCAGTGGGCCCTGCCGGACCTCAACCGCGACTTCCAGATCGCAGTGGGCCCTGCCGGACCTCAACGGGAAGAATGTGAGAAGATATGCCAGATAGAATGTCAGAAGATATGCCAGATAGAATGTCAGAAGATATGCCAAATAGAATGCCAGAAAAAGTGTCATAAGATATGCCAGAAAGAATGTTCTGAATGGCACAAGATATGCCAGAAAAAATATCAGAATATATGCCAGATAGAGTGCCAGAAAGAATGTCAGAAGATATGCCAGATAGAATGCCAGAAAGAATGTCAGAAAGAATGTCAGAAGAAATGCCAGACAGAATGTCAGAAGATATGCCAGAAAGAATGTCAGAAGATATGTCAGATAGAATGTCAGAAGATATGCCAGATAGAATGCCAGACAGAATCTCAGAAAGAATGTCAGAAGATATGCCAGAAAGAATGTCAGAAGATATACCAGATAGAATGCCAGAAGATATGCCAGATAGAATGCCAGAAGACTTGCCAGATAGAATGCCAGAAGATATGCCAGAAAATATGCCAGAACATATGCCAGAAGATATGCCAGATAGAATGCCAGATAGAATGCCAAAAGATATGCCAGATAGAATGCCAGAAGATATGCCAGATAGAATGCCAGAAGATATGCCAGAACATATGCCAGAAGATTTGCCAGATAGAATGCCAGAAGATATGCCAGAACATATGCCAGATAGAATGCCAGAAGATATGCCAGATAGAATGCCAGAAGATTTTGCCAGATAGAATGCCAGAAGATATGCCAGAACATATGCCAGATAGAATGCCAGATAGAATGCCAGAAGATATGTCAGATAGAATGCCAGAAGATTTGCCAGTAAGAAAATGTAAAGATGCCACGGTGGGGATCATTCGAAGTGAAGTAATTTAAGTAGGGGCACCCCAAATCATCCAAAATTCGACCATTTTAGTATTGAAACCCATGGTTTTGAGGATTCTCCATTTTAGGAAACCTCTATATCTATATCCTTTACGCAATAAGGATAATTGCGGATCGAAAATCATTGCGCCCTAATCGCCGTTTGCATCAACAGCTGGCTGGTTGCATCTAGCTATTTACCCATGGAGTTGTCTCAAAATTTTCCAACACTGTTTTCTTCCTTTGTTTTTCCAGGTTTTTACCTGAGACTGTGAAAGCCAGGGGCTACGAGCACAGAGCAGGCTGCTTGCTTCTCTTTGACAAGACATGGCCTGCTCAAATTCTGTTTTTTCAAGCCCAAGACTTTCCAGAGTGAGAACATATTCTATGAGACGACTATCGTGTCCTTGAGCTGCCTCTTTTCACTCACCTTTTTTTTCCCGACTGCTAGTTCTTTGACACGTCAAAGGTGGGGATCGATACCCCACCATCACTGAATTGCTACCCAGTACATTGCTCCAAAACACACCCCAAACATCCCCAAACACAATCTATTTACACGATTTCCTAACCCTAAAATGACCTCTGCCCCGCAGACCCCTTAACTTACTTCGTTCCCTGATACGAACTTTCGCTCAGGTCGGCTGGCTTTCGCAAGTGGTTTATCATCATTCTCCCCATCAAAATTGATAGGAAATGGAATTTGTGTACCCTGGCTTTGAGACAAACCACTCCGAGGAAGTCATGAGTTTTGATCCCAAATGGCTGTCGTATTTTTTCCAGTCTTGGTGCATCCCAAAATGGTCGGTTCATCGCATCCCCTACAGAAATACCGATAGCCCAACGATTTTTCCCCACCTAACTATTGCAACCATTAGACTCAGACTTATCTCCGGTATACCCATGATCACCTCAACCAGAATGCCACAATTGGGAACATCAACCCCCAACAAACAAGATACCCAGTAATTATGTCATACTATAATTATTGTAATCTATTGTAATCTAATCATAACTAATAAATAATAAATCATTATAAATCATGGCCGAGCCACAGGAGTCTCCTGCGCCTCGTCGCAAATCTGGACATCGGCACGGCTCAGCAGCAGTGAACGAACGGCCACAAGGTGTCCTGGTGTGGTTGATATTGAATGGAAACTGTCCATGTTTAAAGATGCTTCTATTACAGAACTTATATAATATGGGTAGATTCCATTCAATACGATAAAAGACATGCATATATACGTATGGATATATGTATATATATATATTATAAATTATATCCATATAGATCATTATAGATCTATATAGCTTTCAGGCTGCTGTTGTTTAAGGGTATTGTATGCAATGTGTATATATATATATACAGGATATCATCATTTGATGAGGAAGCAGCATATTTTTTTAAACAAAACTGAATAGATGTCGATATTCATACATGATGTTCAATTCTACGTGCCGTGGCTTTATTCAAGTACAGTATTTGGGAAGCCTCAAGGTACCAGACCCAAGGTGAACACCCGAATAAGTTTGCGATTGTGCCAGAGGAAGGAACATTACAGGAACGCTTGAGATTGTTTTTGGATGGACGGTTCTTCATGATACTTCTTAACCACTTGCTGGGACCGTCAATCTATATAGCTTGATTCGCCTCTTTTAATGGCCTCGTTGCTCCCTCCAAACAGTCAGCCACTCAACCGCACTCAACCCACGCAGATTTTCAGATCAATTCGGATCAATTGGGCATAAATTCTTTCAGAGCTTTCTTTCACAGCTTCCACATCCTATCCAATCAGACTTCAGATCTTCCATATGTGTCATCCCCAGCACCCAGCGGTCCAAAGCTGGCCGCTAAGTTCAGGGCTGTCCACCCACACCTCAGTTAGTTGCGCAACCCATTGGTTTCAACCAAAAAAAACGAGGGAGAAGCGAAGATCACCTGTGGTGTCTTACAAAAGAACTGTTCCTATTTTTATGAAAAAATGAATTTAAAGGTGTTTGTGCATGTGTTACATATGTTTTGACCATATAAATGGTGAATCAAACGCGTTGGCTGACGTAGACATGAACATTAGAACTCCTTGGGAACCATAGCAATGGATGATCATCGATAGCAGGGCATTCAACGCAATTGGCATTTGAATCGACTTCATGACTGGAAGGAGTTAGCAGTGTTGGTGACTCTGAGAGAACGACTGCCCCATTGCATTCACCTGGAAACACCAGAGTTGGAAATCTCGGCAAGATTAAGACTAATGCCATTGTTCCTGATTCTTGCTGCTTGCGTATTCATGAGTTTCCTATCGGCCATCAATCATTTGCAAGAATTTCAATGCATTTCATGCAAACATGTGCAAATAGGGATGACCTGCGAAAGCTAAAGCTGAGCCTCGGCATTCCGCCGTAGCAAAGCTTCAATGATCCGCGTGTGTCCAGATTGGGCAGCCAGCAACAGTGGAGTGTTCTGCTCACGATCCCTCATATGCCTCAGATTCCAGGCCCTCACGTCCCATGATACGCATAATAGATCTTGATAGATCTTGATAGATGACAAATAATGACAATAAAATCTAATAAAATGATAGTTCATCAGCTCAAAGTAAGGCCATTTGGGGATAGTTACCTCAATCCTAATCCTAATTCATAATTCCAGTGACGTTGCAGTGAGGTCACTATAATTCACTCGAATTGTGCATGACCTAGGGCCCATTGGAGGAACATGTTCGTACGGTCCCTCTGAGTCAATGAGTCTACATGCAGCTGGCAGCACACATCCGCAAGAAAGCGGAGCAGCTCCTCCACAACCATGCAATGACCGAAGGTACAGGCAATCCTGACGCATTTGGGTCATGGGACCATGGGATGTCATGGATCACCCTGGGAAGATTGTGACCCACCTTCAGCATCCTTCAGCCAGAAACATGGGAAAGGTGAGAAGTTCCATATAGTTCCATGAAGTTCCAAACAGTTGAGAGGTGAGAAGTGCATAGAAGTGCCAAGTGAACCATCATAAACATTCAACCGACAGAGTAAAGCCGGGAACCAAAGTAGCAACAGTTGTTCTCCAAATCATCCTATTCTGGCCAGTCTAATTGCTGCAACGAATCATCAAGGGCGTGCGTCCATTCAGCGCCCGTGCATTCACATCAGCTAAACTCGCCAACCTCATGCAGGAAAACGTAAAACCCATCAAGGAAGGCAGACTTTCCCGAATTGGGAACCCTGCATACCAAACTGGCTCTCCAAATCCTTGTCTCTGAACATCGTCCTTGTTTGTTTCTCATCCGATATCTTGCCGAAGGACTGCTGGCATCAATTCCACCCAGCGCTGATTCCACTTTTTAAACCTGGTAAACAAAAATTCGGGAAACATGATCTACTAGTTCATGCCTAGAATCAGATCTAATATCACATGTAATATATATATATATAATATACATACATGGGATTCATATTGGTATGGGTCAAAACCCTGGGCACCCCTGGTGAACTTCAAAATGCGTCAAATGTCCCATCCCCAGATCTTCCGGGCGGCCGGCTCGGCCCAAGGCACAAGTTGTGCGCGACACGGTCTGAGCCGTACTGGCATGCTACGGCCAGTGCACCGAAACCATTGGCAGAGGTTGCGTTGACGTCTGCACGTCCAAGGAGAAGAGCTTGGATCACATCACCCTTATTCCTCAGCTTCATTGCTTCATTGGGCTGCAAAGAAAGGGATGATTTGTACCGGAAACCATGCTTTCAACCATGAAATATGCACGGGTTTCCAGTGAATTGTCGCATTCATCCAAATCTGAGACAGTTGAAACCAGTGGACATAGTGGACTAAGTCACTAAGGGAAAGCATCCATATATATATAAATACATATCTTGAGGATTTAGGGTGACCATTCGCATTTCAAGTTTCAAATGCAATCAAATGTTGTGTTGCACATACATAAGGCTGTGCGTGCTCAGACGGATATCGCGTATCAGAATTGGACCAGCAGAATCAATACAAACATGAACATCATGAACGAAAATGAACAAAGTGATAAGCTCTAGAGAAGTAAAGCATGCAACGGATGGAGGGGTTTTGGGGGGGGGTTGGGGGGCAACCCCAAAAACAAGATTAGAATCTCAACATATCTCAACACTATTCTATTGGAATCTTTCAGATCTTTCAGCAGTCTTTAGCTGCATGGCAGAGACGCTTGTGAGCAGCTATGCGCAAGGCCTTTCCACCAGCTGAACCTGAACCATCCTTGGAGGAAAGCTGCTCCCTGCTGGCTTCATCGCCCTGCAACTGTATTAGCTGATTGAAATAGTAAATAAGTAAACATCAATGAGTCAATCATCACATGGGAGGAAAACCAGAAACATTATACGTAACTATATTGTAACTATATATCAAACCACCGAACAGCTTGATAACGTCCTCCTACTGTTTGCTTCCAAAACTGATGTTTTTTTGCCTCTTTGGATGTCTTTAGATCATTGGACCGTGAAGCCCAGGGCTCTACCGCAGAACATGCTGCCACTGTCTTGATTTGCCATGATCCTCCACCATGATTCAATATACACATATATGCTCATATAATGCCTCTCCAATGGTTCGCAAGCACTTACACTCTATAAGAGGACGTCAATGGCAGGAAACCTGCGCGTGGAACAGCTCCATTTTCATGCCCGACACCCCAAGATGTACCTAAGCTACCCACCTCGCCAACCAAGTTGAGATCCACATTGTAGTGAAAGAGGCGCTCTACGATGCAAGCATGGCCATATTCGGCCGCCCACCATAGAGCATCGGCCAGGGACGATTTCTCCTGAGGTTCAGATAGTTCAGGCTTGCGCTTGGCCAACCTCGCCAACGAATATCAATTACTGACTTCATTGATCTTGATGTGGTTCCCAACTAAGCCCAGAAAAGATGACCCACCAACAAAAATGGCATAATTCAACATGGTAAGAACAGTTGATGGTGATAAATAATCCGGTTCAATTTGCTTTCTGTTGGGGATGTAACTTCTGGGCTGGGGGGAATGCAGTTGGGAACCTCATCATTTATTGAGTTTTCTCAGACAGTTACAGCGATGAGTTTCCCGTGGCAATGGGAAAAAGATGGTGGCCTAAATACAAGTGCCCAACTGACAAATCTTACAAGAAAGTGTTGGCATGCTTGCAGGCTATAAGAATTGAGTCATGAAACTGACTCGCAAAACATCCTTTGCTTAGCCTGGCATGTGACCTTTTCAGCGCACATCAGTCAAAGCCAGAAACCTGCCGCCCATGTGAAGCCGTAGGAAAAAAAGGTTTATTGCTACCATATGGTACCAATAAATTTGCCAAGCACTATATATTTATTATTTATATATGCAATTAGACATTAGATGCATTATAAACAATTACTAAACATATAATAAAACATACTCACAAATACGAACAAGATTTAAATACCTTGCAACAAGACAAATAAAAAACCACTGCATCAAATGTATCTAAATTTTCGTACATCTATCACATATATATATATATATACATATAAATACGATGTAATATGATGATGTTACAATACCATATATACATAATTATAGTGCAAGTGTATATCAATATATATATATAAATATAGAAACACTATAATAAATAAATAATTATTACCCTCTGGTAATTTAACATAGCTATGGAAACTTGCCATAGAAATAGTTGAGAGCTACCCAGCTATAAAATGGTGATTTTCCAGAGGAGGCAGCATCCCAGGCCTGGCCGAGCTGAAGAAGTTCTTCCACCACCTCGAAATGTCCCTTCTGGGCTGCCGATGTCAGTGCCGTTGTGGAATCCCCAGCCTGGCACCCCTAGGAACTGTGGAAAACCATGGGAAAACCATGGGAAAACCATGGACAACTATGGGAAAACCAT